CTCACTCATCACACAGGCTCACACTCACACAGGCTCACACTCACACCGGCTCATACTCACTCACACGGACTCACTGACACAGGCTCACACTCACTCACTCACACAGGCTCACACTCACTCACACAGGCTCACACTCACTCACACAGGCTCACACTCATTCACTCACACAGGCTCACACTCACACAGGCTCACACTCACTCACACAGGCTCACACTCACTCACACAGGCTCACACTCACTCACTCTCACACACACACTCTCTCACACACACACTCTCTCTCACACACACACTCTCTCACACACACTCACACACACTCACTCTCACACACACACTCACTCTCTCACACACACACTCACACACACACAGTCTCACACACACACACTCACTCTCACACACACACTCTCTCTCACACACACACTCTCACACACACACTCACACACACATTCACACACACAGGCTCTCGCTCACACTCACTCACACAGGCTCACACTCACTCACTCACACAGGCTCACACTCACTCACTCACACAGACTCACACTCACTCGCTCACACTCACACAGGCTCACACTCACACCGGCTCCTACTCACTCACACGGACTCACTCACACAGGCTCACACTCACTCACTGACACAGGCTCACACTCACTCACTGACACAGGCTCACACTCACTCACACAGGCTCACACTCACTCACACAGGCTCACACTCACTCACACAGGCTCACATTCACTCACACAGGCTCACACTCATTCACTCACACAGGCTCACACTCATTCACTCACACAGGCTCACACTCATTCACTCACACAGGCTCACACTCACTCACACAGGCTCACACTCACTCACACAGGCTCACACTCACTCACACAGGCTCACACTCACTCACACAGGCTCACACTCACTCACACAGGCTCACACTCACTCACACAGGCTCACACTCACTCACACAGGCTCTCACTCTCACACAGGCTCTCACTCTCACTCACACAGGCTCACACTCAATCACACGGACTCACTCACTCACACAGGCTCACTCACTCACACAGGCTCACACTCACTCACTCAGGCTCATACTCTCACTCACTCACTCACACAGGCTTATACTCACTCACACTCACTCACTGACACAGGCTCACACTCATTCACTCACTCACACAGGCTCACACTCATTCACTCACTCACACAGGCTCACACTCACTCACTCCCACAGGCTCTCACTCACTCCCACAGGCACTCACTCGCTCACTCACTCACAGGCTCACACTCACTCACAGGCTCACACTCACTCACAGGCTCTCACACATTCACACAGGCTCTATCTCACACTTACAGGCTCACATACACGCAGGCTGTGCCACACACCCGCGCGCAGGCTGTGCCACACACCCGCGCGCAGGCTGTGCCGCACGCGAACACACACGCGCTCGACAAGCGCGCGCACACAGGCTCTGGCGCACGCACAGGCTGGAGACACACGCACACACACAGGCTCAACACGTGCACACACTCTACAAACATACACAGGCTCTACACACACACACAGGCTCTCTCCCACACACACACACAGGCTCTCTCCACACACACACACAGGCTCTCTCCACACACACACACACAGGCTCTCTCCACACACACACACACAGGCTCTCTCCACACACACACACACAGGCTCTCTCCACACACACACACACACACAGGCTCTCTCCACACACACACACGCGCAGGCTCTCTCCACACACACACACACAGGCTCTCTCCACACACACACACACAGGCTCTCTCCACACACACACACGCAGGCTCTCTCCACACACACACACAGGCTCTCTCACACACACACACACAGGCTCTCTCCACACACACACACACAGGCTCTCTCCACACACACACACAGGCTCTCTCCACACACACACACAGGCTCTCTTCACACACACAGGCTCTCAATCCGCATACACACCAGCTCGACACATGCACACGCACAGGCTCCACACACGCACACACAGGCTCCACACGCGCACACACAGGCTCCACACGCGCACACACAGGCTCCACACGCGCACACACACACACAGGCTCTCTCCACACACACACAGGTTCTCTCCACACACACACAGGTTCTCTCCACGCACACACACAGGCTCTCTACACGCACACACAAGCTCTCTCCATGCACACAGAAAAACACACGCATACAGAATACATACACAAACAGGCTCTCTCCACTCACACACAGGTTCCACACACACAGGCTCTACACACACAGGGTCTACACGCACACACAGGCTCTACACACACACAGGCTCTCCACACACACTCACGCACACGCACACAGGCTCCACACACACAGGCTGGACACGCGCACACACACAGGCTCGACACACGCACACATAGGCTCGACACACGCGCACACTCTACACACACACACAAACAAGCTCTCTCCACACACAGCCCAGCTCTACTCACACACAGTCTACACACACACATACACAGACTATACACACCCACAGGCTCTCCACACACACTCACACACACACAGGCCCTCAACACACACTCACACACACACAGGCTTGACACGTGCACACACTCTACAAACACACACAGGCTCCACACACACACAGGCTCTACACACACACACACACAGGATCTATACACACACACAGGCTCTCCACACACACTCACAGGCTCTCCACACACACACAGGTTCTCCATACACACATAGGCTCTTTTCACACACACACACACGTACACAGGCTCGGCACGCGCACAGGCTCGACACGCGCACAGGCTCGACACGGACACAGGCTCTCTCTACACACACA